CCTCACTTCCGTTTTATCATCGCTGGGCGGCAGGCTGGGAGGCGCTGCCGCGGGCGTCTTTTCCAAACTGCCTTCCCGGCGCCGTACGGACCCAGTCCAGCTTCCCGCTACGTGCAGAAGCTGCCCATGATCGGCCGCACCAGCCGCCCTGCCCGCCGCTGGGCGCTCTCTGATTACTCGCTGTACCTGCCGCTGTGAGCCGGGCTGTCGCCACCCTTGTGTTTGTAAATAAATTCCGCGCCCGGAAGTGACGCCTCCCTCTCGTGGGCTGGGCCGGATGAGGCGGGGCTTGGGCGGTTGTCCTGTGCGGCGCTGCTTCCTGGCATCGGGGCGCCATGGCGCTGCCCTGGCTGCATCGCATCGAGCTTGTGCTCTTCGCTGCAGCCTTCCTTTGCGGGGCCGTGGTGGCCGCAGCACTGACCCGGACCCAGGTGCGGCTGTGGGGCGAGGCCAGCCTCAGGGCTCGGACGGGTAGGCGAGGTGGGGGGTGAGACAGATCCTGACATAGGGAAGCCATTGGCGCTTTCGGGCCGGGGCTTGCTGCTGTTCTGAGCATGTGGACCCGGCGGGCCACGGCCTGCGGCTGAAAGGCCGCGCCGCTAATCGCGCTCTGTGGCTCTTCCAGCCGGGTCGTACGTCTACCTCGAACCCTCGTCAAAGGGACAAGTGTCAGGGGCGTCTTAACAGCACGAGACCCAGAGCCAGACCTGGTGGCTCCGGCTGCATAACCATACCACAGTTCTGAAACAAGTCGGCACAGGCCCTGAGCTATGTCAAGAAATAAAAAGTACTGTAGTGGAGAGGATCAAGCTACCGCGTGATTGCAACAGTGTGTTAAATGACAAAATAGCGATGGAGAATAGGCTTGTCTAAAGGCAGTAGCCCAGCCAGGCGCGGTGGCTCAAACCTGTAATCCCAGCACTTTGGGAGGCCGAGGCAAGAGGACTGCCTGAGCCCAGGGGCTCAGACGAGCCTGGTCAACTAGGTGAGACCACGTCTCTACAATAAATCAAAAAATTAGCCGGGCGTGGTGGCGCGCGCCTGTATTTCCAGCTACTTGGAAAACTGAGGCGGAAGGATCGCCTGAGCTCATCAGGCCCAGGCTGCGGTGGCCGCGAGCGTGCCACTGCCCTCCAGCCCCGGCGAGAGTGAGACTGAGACTCTGACTGAAAAAAAAAGGCAGTAGCCAGTAATTTACACCGAGTGTTTACCCCAGCCAGGAAATTTTATTAAGCTTAAACATGAGTTCGTTTAATCCCTTCCTAGTAGGGTCCAGCATGTCTATTTCACAATTAGGAAACCTGGAGATAGAGTTGCCTTGTGGAAGGTTACACAAGATCTGGGTTTAGGCTTAGGATTTCTCCAGAGGAGAGACCAGAACTTCTCTTGAAGTTCATTGTAATCTATGACCACTGTAGGTTAACCTTCCCAGCAGGTGCTGTCCATCAGTCTCCTTGTCACAGAAATAGGAATTGACAGTGCACAGATAACCTCCTAAAGTAGTCCTGATTTTAGGTTTTCCCTAACATCTGCCATGAGCTTGTATGCAGTTACTAACTCAGCAGCTTCTCTCCACAGGGTTCCTTCAGTGGCAGGTGCCCCCTGTATGGTGTGGCCACCCTGAATAAGTCCTCCCTGGCCTTATCCCGTCCCTCTGCCCCATCGCTCTGTTACTTTGTAGCTGGAAGTTCTGGCTTCCTGGCCCTCTACTGCCTCCTGCTCTTGCTCTTCTGGGTCTACAGCAGCTGCATCGAGGACTCCCACAGGTGATGTCCCCACCTTAAAGGTCAGGGGCGGAGGTGGGCTGAGTCCCACCTCAGCTACAGGATTGTTTTCTCCCTCACAGAGATCCTATTGGGCTTTGCATTCCACTGGCCATCTCAACTGTAGCTGTCTTCCTGGTCTTAGTGTCTGCCTGTATCCTTCGATTTGGCACCAGTTCTCTCTGCAACTCCATCGTCTCCCTCAACACTACCATTAGGTAATGGGAGAAGGAAGGAAGCCCACTTGAGGCTACCTTCCCTCTGCAGAGGGGTCCTATAACTTCCCTCATTAGCCCCATCAGTTGCTCTCATCTTGAAGGGCACTTGGGCGCAGGTGTGCTTAGGGTATATCTTGTTCTCACAACTGTCTCTTTGACCTCACAGCTGCTCTGGAGCCCAGAAAATTCCATGGACACCTCCTGGAACCGCTCTGCAGTTCTACTCCAACCTACACAATGCTGAAGTGAGACCCAGGGGTATACTGAGAGATACTTCATTAAAGTATCTGTGGCTGTAATGGTGCTCAACAGAGTATTATGACCTTGGCTCACCAAGTAGAGCTGAGAAGAGCTGAAGAATGGTGTGTGGGTGGGAAGGACTGCATCTGAAATGGCCCTACTCCTCACACTCATGTCCCTGTCTCCCACAGACCTCTTCTTGGGTGAATCTGATATTGTGGTGTGTGGTCTTGGTGCTCCAGGTCTTGCAGTGGAAATCTGAAGCTATCCCATACCGGCCTCTGGATAGGGGTGACCCTGAGTGGAGCTCTGAGACAGATGCTCTCGTTGGGCCACGCCTTTCTGGTTCCTGAAGAGTAACCAGTGTGCTTCCTGCAGCCAAAGACTCTGTGCCCAAGTTCCTGCAGTCCTCTTTGCCCTGCACAGCCCTGTTATGTGGGGAGCCTCAGTTTTCCCTCCACGAGGGAAACGTGATGACAGGCCCCCCTCTACCTCCCTTTCTACAGCTGTTTTTCTACCAAAATATCATACTGCTTTCTTCATCTTGGTAGTGAGTCATTGATGTTAAGGCAAGTAGATGGACAGGAGTGAAGGCTAAACAGATGTCGATCAAAACTTAGAGGTACTGTCAGACAGTTGCTCTGGGACAACTGCTCCTTTATTTGCTATTAATGAACCTTGGTTCCCCCACGTGACCCTGGTTGTGACCGCATCCCTACGGTTCACTTTTTATCCCCCTATGGGAAGGGTGAGCGACCCGAGTTTGTTTTTTTTCACAAGCTCCGGTAGGCACCTACAGTATTGTCAAAGAGTTGTGTGTTGTGGAAGTGTCCAGCTTTGTCTAAGAGGAAATAGAAGCGCCGGCCTTTGACCTTCAGAGGCAACATGGCAGGGACTTCACCCCGGTGGGCCATGCAAGATACCTGGTTGAGGGGAACAGTGAAATGGGCCCCCAAGCCAAAGGGGGCATGAGTCGTGAGGGTCACCTGCTGCCCTCCAGCTCGAAGCATCACTGAACGCACAGACCGCAGGGAAAAGAGAAGACCAGCACCAAGTACCAGGGCTCCTGCAGGAAGAGCAAGGATTGGGGTGAAGACTTTTCACTGGAAGGCTAAGCACCGATTCTTCCAGTGCCCCTGAATAAAGGGAACTACTGTGGTAACTAACATATACAGAGTTCCCCAGAATCTTGTTTTATTCCAACCAACAACCTTAATAGATGTCCATCCTTGTCATAAAGGGCAGAAAAAGGGTACAGAGCTGAAGTCACTTGTTCAAGGTCACAGAGAGGCCAAACTCAGCCGAGAACTGCAAGGGCATGGGTCACCTATGGCGGATTGTTAGCAGCCCACCCGCCACGCGCGCTCATCTGGGACAGGGAGGCCCTTTCCTTGCCAGAACGAGAAGGGTCGTGCCTAGCCACCCTGTGTTCCTGTGGGGGAAAGCCAGCCTCAGCCTTACCGATAGCGCCGCAGCCGACAGCCAGCCCGTAGCGCCACAGGGCGGAGCGCAGGTCGAAGTGGCCACCGACTGGGGCCTCCATATCCCGAGGCTGCACTGAGACCGGGGGCCGGGACAAGACTGCCATAGTTAGGGAGGCCCACAGGACGCCCTGGCCTGCGCAGAAAAGCCCGAGGACAGCAAAGAAGCGGCCTCGTTTATGCTCGAAGAGCAGCACGTCCCGCGGCGGGGTCGCGTTGTACAGGAGCCGGCGCATAGGCAGAAGCCGCAGCGCAGCGAGCAGCCCTGGGGGCCACCGTCGCCAAGGCACCGCCATAGCCCGCCCTGCCCTGCTTCCGGGGCGGGACTTCCTGCCGTGAGGCCAACCCTCCCCTGCCCCGTGCCCCGCCCCATCTGTCCTTCAGGGCCGCGGCGGCTGCCGCAGTCCTGGCCCACACTTCCCCGGAGGGCGGGGAAGAGACAAAACACTCCAGTACCCAAGGAAAATACAATATCACTCTTTATCTTAAAAAGTAAGGAGGATCCTGGGGTTAAGTACACAAAGCACCTAAGTCCTTCGGGTAGTTTAGTGTCAGTTCTACAAAGTAAGCTTTGGCTTCCTGGCACCAGTGAGGCTCAATCTTCTGAAAGTCTTCCAGAAGGCGGGTGAGGAGAGGGATCCAGCAGCCTTCCCTCCTCAGTCACAGTCTCAGGGTGGCCTCAGGCCAGACAGGAGGAGATGACAGATGACAAAGACAATATCCAAGGACTATTTACAGGGGGCTTCTTCTGGGACCTGACTATGGATCACTTCATGAATGCCACTTCTGGGATCTCACCCTTGGCCTGGAGAAAGATGAGAGGTCAGTAAAGCAGGTGCTTCCCCAACGCTACTGCTCCCAGCACCCACCGCTACTTGACCCTTTCAAAGGCTCGGAGATCCCAGTCTTTTTGCTGCTGTGTTTCCAACCCTCACCTTGAGATGAGTGAAGGCCTGGGCAGATATGGCGTAGTTCCAGTTGTTGTCCTGAAGGCACCTGGAGTGAGGTAACAACAGACAGCTTCATGACCACTAAATGCCACTTCAAAATCCATCCCATAGAAACACCCAAGTGCCGGGCTCGGTGGCTCAGCCTGTAATCCCGCGCCTTGGGATGCTGAGGTGAGTAGATTGCCTGAGCCCACGGGTTTGAGACCCGCCTGGGCAACTTGGTGAGACCTCGTCTCTACAATAAATCAAAAATTAGCCGGGCGTGGTGGCATGCGCCTGTAGTTCCAGCTACTTGGAAGCCTGAGGTGGCAGGATCGCTGGAGCCCGGCAGGTCGAGGCTGCCGTGGCCGGGGCCAGCCACTGTACTCCAGTCTGGGCGACAGAGTGGAGACTGGAGTACAGTGGAGTGGAGTGGAGTTGAGACTCCAACTGAAAAAAAAAAAAAAAAACCCAAGTTGCAAACAATCACATTCTTATACATTGTTGCATGATTTATGCAAATGAGAAATTAATAAAAACCCAACTATTTACCAATGATCTGTCAAATATAAGAAATATTAAATAGCTGTCAAGAAGACCAAGGCAGGTTGTTTTGGTTTTGTTTTTTTGAGCGGGAGTCTCACTATTGCCCAGGCTGGAGTGTAGTGGTACGCTCACAGCTATTGCAGCCTCGATCTGCTGGGCTCAGGCAGTCTTCATCCTCAGTCTTCCAAATAGCTGAAACTACAGGCGTGCACCACTACGCCTGGCTAATTTTTTGATTTATTGTAGAGATGAGGTCTCACCTACTTGCCCAGGCTGATCTCGAACCGCTGGGCTCAGGCAATCCTCTTGCCTAAGCCTCCCAAAGTGCTGCGATTACAGGTGTGAGCCACCGTGCCCGGCTAACAAAGTAGTTTTTATACAGGTAGAGAAAGATGTCTATAGTATAAGTTGCAAAACAATACATAAAAAGGAACTTCATTTTGACTTTAAAATTTTTATGCTATTATTCATTCACAAGACAAATTTTTCATGCACCTTTTTTTTTTGAGTTGGAGTCTCACTCTGTTGCCCAGACTGGAGTGCAGTGGCCGCTCCTAGCCACTGCAGCCTCGACCTGCTGCGCTCCAGCGATCCTTCCACTTCAGCCTTCCAAGTAGCTGGAACTACAGGCGTGCGCTACCACGCCCGGCTAATTTTTTGATTTATTGTAGAGATGAGGTCTCACCTACTTGCCCAGGCTGATCTCGAACCGCTGGGCTCAGGCAATCCTCTTGCCTAAGCCTCCCAAAGTGCTGCGATTACAGGTGTGAGCCACCGTGCCCGGCTAACAAAGTAGTTTTTATACAGGTAGAGAAAGATGTCTATAGTATAAGTTGCAAAACAATACATAAAAAGGAACTTCATTTTGACTTTAAAATTTTTATGCTATTATTCATTCACAAGACAAATTTTTCATGCACCTTTTTTTTTTGAGTTGGAGTCTCACTCTGTTGCCCAGACTGGAGTGCAGTGGCCGCTCCTAGCCACTGCAGCCTCGACCTGCTGCGCTCCAGCGATCCTTCCACTTCAGCCTTCCAAGTAGCTGGAACTACAGGCGTGCGCTACCACGCCCGGCTAATTTTTTGATTTATTGTAGAGATGAGGTCTCACCTACTTGCCCAGGCTGATCTCGAACCGCTGGGCTCAGGCAATCCTCTTGCCTAAGCCTCCCAAAGTGCTGCGATTACAGGTGTGAGCCACCGTGCCCGGCTAACAAAGTAGTTTTTATACAGGTAGAGAAAGATGTCTATAGTATAAGTTGCAAAACAATACATAAAAAGGAACTTCATTTTGACTTTAAAATTTTTATGCTATTATTCATTCACAAGACAAATTTTTCATGCACCTTTTTTTTTTGAGTTGGAGTCTCACTCTGTTGCCCAGACTGGAGTGCAGTGGCCGCTCCTAGCCACTGCAGCCTCGACCTGCTGCGCTCCAGCGATCCTTCCACTTCAGCCTTCCAAGTAGCTGGAACTACAGGCGTGCGCTACCACGCCCGGCTAATTTTTTGATTTATTGTAGAGATGAGGTCTCGCTGCCCAGGCGGGTCTTGACCCCGCGGGCTCAGTCAATCCACTCATCTCAGCCTCCCAAAGCGCGGGATTACAGGCTGAGCCACCGAGCCCGGCTCATGCATCTTTTTTTAAGCAACAAAAAAAATTTTGACTTTAAAAATTTCAGATATCAGTAGGTACTACCAGCTCCTCCCTCAGTTTACCCCATCCTGCACATGGCCAATACTCACTTCTGGGACCACTCGAGATTCATGCCAGACTGGGTGGAGAATGCCTGCAACATTTCCTGCTGTTCTGGGGAGAGGGTGGGCACTGGGCTGGAGGAAGGAGTAGGTGCAGGCATGGCGAAGGCTCTTTGGATCTCTTCAGAGCTGGCATTCCGCACAAATAGCTCATCGTTTACAATACACAGCCTTGGGGACAAAGAGCACCTTGAATAGCTGGCCAGACAGATAACCTAATCCTCCCAGCATTGTTCCTATTCTCACTGATGCTTGACACTCAGATTCATTCAATACCCACAGGGTCCCCCTTCTACTCTTAGCTATTGTTGCCTTTTATCATTTATCTCCTCCCATGACTCCAAAGGATTATGTACCAAAAACAGTGAAATTATATGTTCTCCCTCAACGCACAGACAGTTCTTTTTTTTTTTTTTTGAGTTGGACACTCACTCAGTCGCCAAGACTGGAGTGCAGTGGCCGCTCCCGGCCACCGCAGCCTCGACCTGCTGGGCTCCGGCGATCCCTCTGCCTCAGCCTTCCAAGTAGCTGGAACTACAGGTGCGCACTACCACGCCCGCCTAGTTTTTTTGATTTATTTTGGAGATGATGTCTCGCCAAGTTGCCCAGGCGGGTCACAAACCCGCGGGCTCAGGCAATCCACTCACCTCAGCCTCCCAAAGGCACGGGATTATAGGCTGAGCCACCGAGCCCGACTCATAGACAGTTCTTAACTCTTTTACTTTTTATACATTTTCACAACAAATTTAGGAAGTGAAATTGTTATGTGAATTTTCAGGCTGGGTGTGGTGGCTCACACCTGTAATCCCAGCACTTCGGGAGGCAGAGGTGAGAGGACTGCTTGAGCTCAGGGGTTCAAGACCAGCCTAGGCAACTTGGCAAGACCTCATCTCTACAATAAATTAAAAATTAGCGAGGCATGGTGATGTGCACCTGGAGTTCTAGCTACTTGGAATGCTTAAGTAGCAGGGTCACCTGAGTCCAGTAGATCAAGGCTGCGGTGGCCATTAAGTGTACCACTACACTCCAGCCTGGGTGACAGAGACTGATTAAAAAAAAAAATTTTTTTTTCAGATGAGGAAACTTGCCTGTAGCTAGAAGTGTGGGGCCAGAATGGAAACACAGTCCGACTCCAGAGCCAAGCTCTTCACTATGTGAGCTGCTTCGATTTCTCACTGCCTTTCTGAAATTCCTAAAGTACTCCGAGGACTAACTACCCTCCAATTACTACACTGCTAGTCATGGAATATGACTGGTATCCAATATGATAAGTGCAGCACTTACCCTGAATTACTAGCAGGAACAGCAATGAACGTCCGTGTGAAGGCTCGCAAAGAATCTCGAGACTTTCCATCCACTGTAATGAGAAAAGCACTGTCTCCTTAGAGTTATTCATGCTTTATATTTACAAACAGCTTCTTAGGTCACTGTTTTCTTTGATACAAACAATCCTAGGAGGCTGGACAGGGATGATTGTATGTAAGGGAAGCAGAAGTGGGGTGAAGGGTCAGATCAGGGAGGACAATAGTAGCAACTATTAAACCACTGATAGAGCACTTTTGTGGCAGGTCCCAGGTCAAGCACTTGATAAGACACTTCATTTACCTCCTACAGCACTACTATGAGATAGCTATTACTCACCCATCTTACAAATAAAGAATCTGAGGCTCAGAAGTAATGTAACTTGCCCACAGACCCAAGACTGGGATGAAAACTCAAAACTGCCTGACTTCAAAGTCTGTGTCTTCTTAAGTCCCAGACTGTTCTCACATCCCAGATGGGACAGGTGAAGAGGTAGCCCAAACCAAGATGGCTCAAGAGCAGAGTGGGAGAATGAGCTCAGAAAAGAAAAGGGTAAAGAAGGAAGCTGGGAAGATTCTAGCTAGAGGTAGAACCATGCTACAAACTTAGGACTCAAAAGATTCTCACCTTCCTTGAAGACTCCATTGACCGAAAAACACAGCAATGTGCTCTGAAAGAGAAGCAGCATCAGGTACAATGTAGGTTTCCCAGCCAGAGTCAAAACATCTCCCTTGCCTCTTTTTTTTTTGAGTTGGAGTCTCATCTCACTCTGTCGCCCAGGCTGAAGTACAGTGGCATGCTTATGGCCACCACAGCCATGACCTGCTGGGCTCAGGGGATCCTTCTGCCTCAGGCTTCCAAGAAGTTGGAACTACAGGCACCTGCTACCACGCCCAGCTTTTAAAAAAAATTTTTTTTTGAGTTGGAGTCTCACTCTGTCACCCAGGCTATAGTGCGGTGGCATGCTCACAGCCACCGCAGCCTTGACCTGCTGGGCTCAGGTGATCCTTCTGCCTCACCCTTCCAAGTAGCTGGAAATACTGGTATGTGCCACCACACCAATCTAATTTTTTGATTTATTGTAGAAGAGAGGTCTCACCAAGTTGTCCAGGCTGGTCTAGAACCCCTGACCTCAGGCAATCCTCTCGCCTCGGCCTCCCAAAATGCTGGGATTACAGGCTTGAGTCACGGCATTGGCCTCTCCCTTGCCTCTTAAATGCCACCCTCTACCCCAATTCTGGGCTTCTGTCAGGGCAGAAATAGGTGCTTACGGTTTGGGCACTTATGTCTACCACAAAGGAATTGATGTCATGCTGGGTTTTGGGCAACTCATTGAGGAAGGCAACAACGTTGAGACGTGTGTGCTTCAGCAGACGGAACCGCAGAGCTGTGGGCAGAGGAGAAAACAAGATAGGGGCTCCCGAGCTCTATGACTGATTCTTTCTCATCCCCCTTTCCCACCCTGTTTTGTTCACATCACACACTTACTAGGATCTTTAAGCTTTTTCACATTTCTACTATCCTTGAAGTATTCGGCCAAGTTGCTTCTAGGGGAATAAGAGGAAAAGAAGGTGATCATCAGAGCAGTGTGGATGCCAGAAGGTACTTGGTCTGTAACTGCTGGAAAACCTTTCAGTCCTGGGTAGGTTCTGGGATGTGACACTCACCGGGCAGGGTTCTGGGGGATAAAAGGAATGCTCAGGGAACAGCAGGCCCCATCATGGTAGGCATCCAGGAGCCCCTGCCGGTCTCCAGAGTCATAAATTGCATAGTATCTGTGGGCAAAATAAAAGAGAGAGCCTGAGCTCTGCAGTCTGAAGCCACAAAAGGACGCAGTAGCGCCTAAGGGTGAGTTGTACCTGGACCAGCCAACCTTCCCCTAGCCTTAGGAGCCCCGGGGATACTTACTGCTGCAGGAAGTGCAGGACCAGACTCTTCAGGTTTTCTGTTCCAAAATAGCTTCCCTGGAATCAAACAGAAATCATGGACCATGGAAGCAGTACTCTTACCACATACAAGTTCTAACTCTGTTGTCACTTCTCACCTTGCAGGGCGGTAACATGGTGGGGGCCTCAACATCAAAGGCAATTGGTGGGGGTAGTTCATGGCCATCCTGTGGAAAGTAAAAGTTGACAGTGTAAACCAGAGGAAAAAAGGCTGGGCTGGACACAGGGGCTCACATCTATAGCCCTAGCACTTTGGGAGGCTGATGTGAGAGGGTTGCTTGAGCCCTGGAATTTGAGACATGCCTAGGCAACATAGCGAGATCTTGTCTCTATAAAAATATTTAAAAAACCAACCAGGCATGGAGTCGCATGCTTGTAGTTCAAGTTACTGGGGAGGCTGAGGCGGAAGGATCACCTGAGTTGAGATTTAGGGTTCAGGGAGCTGTCATCATGCCACTGCACTCCAGCCGGGGCAACAGAGTGAGATTCTAACACATACACAGCTGGATGTGTAAGTAGACCAAAAAATTAAGATTGAAGGGTCAGAAGTAAAGTGTAAAAGAGGCTTAGAAGTATACAGGAATCCTAACATATGCAACTTTTGCCTACAAACGGTTTTTTTTTTTTGAGTTGGAGTCTCACTCTGTCGCCCAGACTGGAGTGCAGTGGCCG